TGACCAAAAGATTCCATAACTACTGCACAGATCCTTAGAGATGATGATACCATGATGTCATCTGGCAGAAGCTAAGAATTGGGATTCTTTAGCCCTGGAAATTTAAAGAATCGATACGTGGGCATGTGGTACAAGGGAATAACAGTTACGACCATATTATGGGTTGCCAACAGAGAAATACCACCAACATATATCTATCTGGAGTCTTGAGGGTCATCGAGCCAGGACTTCTAGTTCTTCTAAACAACAATAATGGTGGCATCATATGGTTTTCTAATACATCACAACCTGTGAAAACTACTGGACTTGGGAAACCTTGTCGTTAAAGATGAGGATGACCCGGGAAATTTCCTTTGAGAGAGTTCTCATTTTCTAACTGATACAGTCTTCTGAGGAATGAAGTTCTGTTGGAGCTTTATTACTGGTCTAGAATAAAAAATCATCACCGACATTAAAGAACTCCAGAATTTTCTGGGATTTCCTCCAGCTTTCTCCCTCTTTCTTCCTTTGCCAACTATTGTAGAAAAATCTTGATAATTTATTATTCCTAGAAGAAGTGCACCGCCATACATGTATGTATCTAGAGATGCATGTCACCTCCATACTAGAAGATAGTAGAAGAAAACGATGCACCATCATTAACTAGTATAAATAGAGATGGATATATTGTGATATGTGCATGAGTAATTTTACATATTGAGTCAGGCGTGGACGCAGACGTTTAGTATCATGGGGTCAAAAGTTAAAAAATAATTTTTTTAATAAATAACATAATATCAATAAAAATAAGTTAATATGTATTTTGACACTTTGAAAACGTCGTATAATTATATCATTATTAATATTATTAAATAAATTTTGCTACTTGTATAATTTTGTTTGTCATTTCGTTGGTAAATGCTGAGCTAACATTGAGTAAATAAAATTGAATATTGAAATTAAATGAATTGAAATAAAATTCAAGTTTATTTCAGGAAGTAAATAAAATTCAAATTTAAAGCAAACATATATAATTTGAAAATCATTTAAATTGCATTTAATTCGTAACAACCCTAAAAAATTTACGTCATATTTTGTGTAAGACTTCTGAATGAAACGATATAAATTATATTGAAAAATTTATTGTGCAAAAATAATAATTAATTGAATTTTTTAAAAGAAAAAACGAGTTAGACGTTTTTTTTGAGGCGTACGTTTGATATATATTTAATTATTTTCGATATTCGTTTGGACCATTCGATATGAAAAAGATGTAGTTTTCAAATCAAACTTTTATATAGCATAGACGATTTGTAGATTCAGATAGCACATGATGCAAACGAATTTTTAAAGTTAGGATATTATCGAAACTTTCAAAATATTAGTTTCAAACGGCCTACTTTAACATGTCATAACTTTTGCTATAATTGACCACTTCGCATGTCATTAATGAGTGAAAAATTAGGCCATGAGCTCTTCGAAATGGTATTAAGAATGCAATATTTTGACTTCATTTGACATCCCAACGAGTGCATCAAAGTAGATTGTAAAAAAAAAAAAAAAAAAAAGGGCAAAATTTTGTGGGGTCATTTGACCCTACATGACCCCATGTGGGTCCGCCCGCGTATTGAGTGATAGTGAAGAGTGTGAGAGAGCGCTGTAAAGTGAGGAAATTGGTGAGTGCCGTGAATTGCACTTGAGAGTTAATTAGTAAAGAAGAACTTACATAAAATCTATTTAATTTGGCTTTAGACAACAATGGATTGATTTCCAGTTCTTGCTCTAATTTTCAGAATTAATTGTTAATCAGAGAATTGTGGGGATAAACCATGGTGGATTTATCTCCATTCGTGTTCAGAAGATTAAATGACATTTAGAAAGTCGTACACATAAACAAGTTGACTCAATAGTCACCTTGAACTATGAACGTTATTGAGTTGAAAGCCACAGCTAAGGTCTAATAACGTCTAACTGTGAAGGCCACCGCCCATATCTTAAGTAAGACAGTGTACCATGGTACCTAAAAGCAAAAGGCTATATAAAGGAACTCAGATTGAGTTCAACCAGGATGCCAAGATAAAGAAAATATAATGCTAGCATAATTAAATGAACATATATCAATCTGTACACTGTTATAGCTGATAATATCTTTTAAAATAAACTGTTAATTATTTACTATAAATTTAGATAGCAAGAACTAGTTATTCCGGGTCAAAATTGATGCATATGGGGAAGGGAAATAGCTACCGTAGGCTAATCAGCATTTTAATCCATCCATTGGATTGTTCTGTCCATATAAATGAAATAGTGGTCCTACAAGGATCTAAGCGTGCATGGATATTTGAAGCATAATCTTGACCTTATTATACTTCAGATTTGGCGATTGGAGGCAATTTTTCCAAGTCTAGCTAGGGTGTGTACACTAAACCTCATATTCAGTCAATATGTATCCAAGTTTCTACTTATTGCCAAAAAATCAATTCTATTGAACAAGAGAAAAAAGAAATAAAAAATAAAGAAAGAGAAAGAGAGTAGAACTAGAACCATGAAGATATCTAATAAATATTTTCTTTTACTTTTTGTCTTAATAGCTCATCGAAGACCAATGATGTGATACGTAGAGAAATACACGTGAGCATGAAAATAACCTGCAATTGGTCCACTTGTGAGAGCAAACCCTTAATTTGTTCTAGTAGTGTAGTTCAATAAGAGACAATGAAGGGTGAATTTTTTTATTTTATTTTTTTAAAGTATATGATTATTAGTAAATGATTAAATGATTGAAGCTTACTTTTGTATATATTTTGTTTTTTAGGTGTATCTTGATAAAAAAAATAAAATAAAAATAGTAGAAGTGGACAAAAGGAGAGAAAAATTGGTCAAAGGGAATTGAATCTAAAGTTTGGGGACTAAATTGCAAAGTGTTAATAGTTGATTCAGACCCAATGTTAATGATTGAAGAAAGTGTGGAGTCAATTAGATGGAATTGGAAGATAAAGAACCAAGAAGATATCAAAAGGAGCTAAAATGAATGAAGAATGAAATTTAGGGAGCAAAATGTAGCAAAAGGAATGTTTTACAACAGTGCGCGCAGGCCAATTGTCAAGCACGCCCGACACCCTAAGTTCCAATTATTAAGAGAAAAAATGTCCTATGGCACGTGCCGAAAAATATACGGCACATGCGCGGGGGCCAATTTGGGCACGAACGGCCCAATTTCTTTTTTGACCTAAACTTGTATTTAAATTAATTTTAACCTACTATTTAACCGAGAAGAGACTGCTCGAATGGGGGAGCACATTATCATACATATTTTTCATCATAAGAAAGAGGCTAGTGGAGGATTCAGGGGCCTCTTAACACAAGAAATTGAAGAATTGGCGTTCGAGTTGAAGATTAATGAAGAAGAAATTGATCTTTCACTTTTCATTCATTGTTTTCAATTCCGGGTGATATTTTTACTAATCTTTTTGTGTGTTTTATTTTATAAAGTCCTAGGCTAATTCTTTTCATGTATTGGATGAAGATGAAAATCTTTATTATTTATTTTTAATTCAAGACAAGTAGCTTAGTTAAATTATGGTTTTTCTTGATGAATTTTGCATGCCTAATTTTATTATTTGATTACTTGATCAGCAATTGAATATGTGGTTGCTTGATGTAGTGCTGGAAGATTCACAGTAAGTCTAGAACACTGCTTGGTTAACATGCGCGCAATAAATGTTAGAAATAATGTTTATCACAAGTGAATCTTTAGGATAATTGTAAAATTGAATGCATTCTATTCATTTGAATTTGGACTAGGAATAGATTCGAGTCATGACTGGAATAGATTTAATTTGTCTTGAAAAGAAAAATTAATTACAATAAAATTATCGATTATCAAGAATGCATGAATAAAACTAGCCACATAATTGAAAAGTGGAATATAAAATAATAGTTAAATTCGTAATCCGAAACACTCATCTCATACATATATAAAACTTGAATTTTATACGATTTAGTAAATTAATCTAGAATAGTCGCAACCACAGGTCACTTTTGTTTGCTCACTTTGAATATAATTAAAACTAATGCACTCAATTAATTTTATTTATTGTGGGACGATACATGTTACTCATTACGTATTACTTGTCGACGATCCTGCACACTTCCGAGTTTCGTACGAACATAATTTGACCTATACATATGCATAGATATTTGAAGCATAATCTTCATCTTATACTACTTGGGATTTGCCAATTGGTTGCCGTGATTGTATTGACAATTTCTTAATTTTCTTACTATCTACCGGCTGTTTGGAATCAATTTTGTGTAGATTTTAATTCACAAAAGGTGGGTCCCTATGTGCAGTCATTGACTCAACAATGATCCAAAGGCAGAAATGACCCTATCTATAGAATAAGGAATTAAATGTGAAAGAGTACATTGGTCATTCTAATAGAATTTAGACAGCCACTTTATTGTAAAAATAAGAATGAAAAATATAATCGTTATGGGCTTTATAGAAGAGATAAAAAGTCAAGTATGATGACTTGATATGATGGATAAATGTCATATTTTTTTTTATTTTAATGAGAAAATAATAGGACTTAAACAGGTTTTTAGTCAATAATTGCTGCTCTTTCGCTGACACGCCACTGATTAACAGCAAAAAATTTGATTAAAATCTTGTACCAAAATCTCGCACAGACAAGAGCCTAATCCAAGTCAGGAAGTTAAGATGTGAACACTAGACTTCATATTCAGTCAATATACGTTTTTAGATTTTTTTATCTCCTACCTATGAATCTGAAAGAAAGGGAATGAGAGACAGTACAAGAACCATGCATATACGAAATAAATATTTCCCCTTACTTTTTGTCTTCACCATGTTAATGTTCATCCCGAAAATCTCCAATCAAACGGATACTATAACTACTACACTGATCATTAGAGATGGTGAGACCCTGGTTTCATCTGGCGGAGGCTTTGAATTGGGATTTTTTAGCCCAGATAATTCCAACAATCGATACGTGGGCATGTGGTACAAGAAAATACCAGCTAAGACCGTGGTATGGGTTGCCAACAGAGAAATTCCACTGACAAATAAATCTGGAGTCTTGAAGGTTATCGAACCAGGACTTCTAGTTCTTCTAAACGACACTAATGGTGTCATCATATGGTCTTCGAATACATCAGGACCTGTGAAAATGCCAGTTGCAAAATTGCTTGACACGGGAAACCCATCGTGAAAGATGTAAATGATGATGACCCAGGGAACTTTGTATGGGAGAGTTTTACTTATCCGACTGATACATTGTTACCAGGTAGGAAGCTCGGTTGGAACTTTATAACTGGTTTAGAGGTCTATCCATCATCGTGGAAGAGCAACAAGGATCCAATTTCAGGAGATTTTACGTATCACTGTGATCCTACTGGTTATCCACAAACAGGTTCAGTTGAGCTATATAGAACTGGACCTTGGAATGGTCTCCGTTTTAGTGGGATACCAAACTTGAGTAAAAATGAGATTTTTATATTTGAATTAGTACTAAAAAAAATTAAGTGTACTTTCATTATGAGCTCCTTATCAGCTCAGTTATTACAAGGTTTACATTGAGCCTGAGTGGAGTTCTTCAGCATTGGACATGGATTGACACGATCAATCCTGATTCAACCTAATTGACTCGACACGTGTCGTGCGCCAATGGTAGATGTCAGTTAAATACCGGACCCACCACCAAGACAATCTTGACCTATTTTGACCGTGACATAATTTTATAAAAAATTTTCACAAAGTTTTCCCTGAAACTTGAAAATCAACAAAATCTCGTATAGACATTTAAACCGAAAATTTTGGGAACCATTAGTTCCACCAATACCACCACAACTAAGACTAAATACGACTAAATTTGACTGAGAACTTCTACTACAAAACATTATGTCTACATGCAAGCATTACATCAATTATAAACCCTTCTACGAAATGCACATCAAACAAAATATTAGACAATGTTTAGTAAACATGAGTCCCCAACTATACATTACATACTACGAAACGGTCTCTTGACTTCAGCAAGCTTTTCCAAGTATCTCAAAATCAACGGTCTTCTAATAGGAAAAACATGGCAAAAATATATGAGATTGTAACTCAGTGAGTAGATAGTTTGCAAATAAGTATACTTTTCCATTTATGCATATTTTCTAAAAATTCTAACTCTATTAAATCATTGAGAAATTCTGAATCTAGTAACACTTTCAAAAACTAAGCATGATTGCATTATAAAATTCTTTGTTCTTAATTCTAGATAAGCAACTATAAGGTATAATGAATATAAAGGATTTGATATTCATGAAAATCTCTGAAATATTGGTATTGCTCAATGTTATAAGTTGGAAGCTTTATTCTGAGAACTGGAGAAACTGAACTCCATAATCTGAAATCTAATAAACTGTATACTGAAAGTTCTCACCAAAAAGATACCCTATGAATAGCCTTACCCATGTACAGAGTAATTTCGACGTACAAGGCAAGACCATTCACATCTGATAATTTTGTCATACGTACGCAGAGCTGTCCCAAACATTAATCACCCTAGTACACGGCCCATAGTCTATGTGTGTACGGAGTGGGTCCCAAAGACCTTTGATAATCTGGTCATACACTATAGAAACACATTCACAATAGTGTAGAGCGGGTAAAATCACCATAACTAATCATATACCGTGGAAACATTTAATATTCTGGTGGTTTCTGGTGGTTTTAAAAATAACTTTAATAATGCTGAAACATTTAATATTCATAAAACTTGCTAATCAAATGATTTAACCAAACTGAATTTAACTTTAAAAGAAATTATAAAATCAACTTTATTCTATGAATCATGTTGTCAATTCAACTGTATGAATTAATAAATTTTCTAATATGATATAAATTTAATAATTACTAATTTTTGAAAATCAGTTTGTATCCACACACAAAGTATGAGCTACAAGCTAGACTGCCTGATAAATATTTCCAATATCCTCGTTATCACCTGAAATACGATATTAATAAACAATTTATCCACTATCAAATCAAGAAACCTTAATATCTAATGATAGAAGTTAAATTAAATCTCTTGATACTTGAATAAATTCCCAAATTTTCCTTTATTAATTGGAGCTAATTACACTTTATGATCCCTTGACTAATAACTAATTTATCAACATAACTTTCATTCCAAGCATTAATGTAACTACCACTTCATTCTAGTGATAACTTGTCACTATGATTCGACAAATTAAATTTTCCTCTTGTTCCATAAATTCATACGTCCAAATAATTATTTCCTCATCATCATCATTTCCATGAACACTACTTAATCCGAAAATTCCAAATGAAATTTCTAGGGTTTGATAAAAATAATATTCCTTACCTAGCTGAAATTGGAAATGAAGTAATCCCCAAGCTTGAGCTCCAATTTGTACCTATCTCACCTAAAATTTGAGATTTTTTACTACAAGTTAAAACCCTAGAAATTTAACAGAAGTCATACTTTTGCCACTTGGAACAAATGGATAAATTAAATCCAAACTTGAAGAGATTAATCTTACCTCGCTTCCTCTTCTTCCCTTTTCTTCCTTCCTTCCTTCTTTCTCTTTTTTCTTCCCTTTTTCCTTGGTTTTTCTCTCTCCCAGCCGTCCACCTTCACTGCCCGGTTTTGTCTAGTGTGTGAGTGTGTGTTTTGGGAGAAAATGGGTCAATTCTAGTAACATAAACGTCTACTTGCTCAAAATTGTAAAGGAAGTGCTTCAACTCCTATTTATATCACACATATAATCCTAAACTTCAAAAATATATATAAGTAAATTCTCAACTTTAAATTGTATCAAATTTAACCCTCATATATTCCCAATTTCAAAGTAAACCCAAATAAAATATTTAATTTCATTTTAGTCCTTAATTGGCTTTGATCTTGACTAGTCAACATTTGAATTTTTTACTATGAAAATTGAGTTGTAACATGGATAGATCAAACACAAGAGTGAGAAGTTTACCTGACTTTTCCAACATATAATTGTGATATTTATAAATCATTTGGTGTATATGGCAGTTGCAATATTGGAAATTCTCCTGTTTGTGGATGTTTAAATAGATTTCTCCCAAAAGATCCTGAAACTTGGAAGAATGGAGATTGGTCGAACAGGTGTGTTTGTAGAAATCCATTGAATTGTCAAACAGAAGATGTATTTCTCAAGTATTCTGGTATTGAATTGCTAGATACACGATATTCCTGGTATAGTGAAAGAATGTTAGTCGAAGATTGCAAGGTAGAGTGCTTAAACAATTGCAATTGTACTGCTTATACTTACTTAGACATAAGTAGAGGTGGAAGTGGATGCTTACTTTGGTTTGGAGACTTATTTGACATGAAAGAGCTATTAGGAACAGGACAATATATCTACATTAGAATGGCTTATTCTAGACTAGGTAAGGATTTATTCGACAAAATGCTTAACCATTCATGAAATGTCTACTGTTTTCTTTAAGTATATTAAAATTATAATATTGAAGATTTTTCCCCAATATAACATTTTATTTAACTTAAAACTTTAGAAGATCTCATAATGAGCACAAACGAAGCGACATCCTGTAGTATAGCTTTACTTTTTTAGATTCGATTGATTTAATTTTGCAGCCTAGTTTCAAGGCTACACATTAGCTTCATTCTAGTTTATTAGAATTAGTATTCAAAAGCTGGTTTACAGATGCAAAAAGTTCCATTATAATTATGGCCTTCAGTGTGATAGCATAACTTTGAATTTAAAGGAAGTTGAATGTTTACATTATTAGATGAACAAGTACAAAATGGGATAATTCAGAACTTTCTTTCCTTTATAGATGATTTGTGAACTTGTCACTTTCAAAATATGTATCATCATTGAAAAGTAATCCCTTTTTTCGTTAATTGTGCACGGAAAAGAGAAATTCTAATAGTAAGTTTTTCGTTGTGTCTGGGAATGATTCAGCTAGGTCTGAGTATGATTCTGTAAAGAAGAGTAACCAAAGGCTAAAAGGAGGTATGCTAGCAAAATCTATGATTTTTTTACTAGAGACAAGTGGAGAAACCAATCTTATCTATGCAAATGGAAACCATCTTTTGCTTTTCTATATGTTTTAGGTGGCCTTGGACACAACTTTGCAGACAATCACAATGATGAAAGTCACAATAAAGACATAGAGCTACCACTATCTGACTTACATACAATAACTAAAGCTACTGATAATTTGTAGAGGCATCAACGGTAGTAGGAGGCTCCAGGAGGTAGATCAGGAGTTCTAGCAGGCTAGAACTATTTACGATAGTAGATCTTGAGACTGTGACATCAGGTCTTAGTGGATACAAAAATTGGAATTGCTGTGTATTCTTTGAACTGTCTAAGTGGAGGCAACTGACTTGGTCCTGGAGTTTTTCCCACGTTGGGTTTCTCCATCATCAAATTTTGTGTTCTTTACTTTTCAGCAATTTATTATAAACTGCAGTATTCGAACATAGGGTTAATTGAATTGTATACTTAATAGTCTAGAAACTAATTAAAAGTGATGTGTTTGCTTTAATTAGTTAATTTCGCACGTGTTAGGAAAATGTGTAATTGGCAATCTGTGACCAAAGGACCTATTTGTCATGTTTGTAATGTCAGGGACTAAATTGTAAAGGTCTAATAGTTCAGGGACTAGAGTTGCAAGTTAATAAATTTTATTGCATGGGTCTAGGGTAAAGGTGGATGCTTTGAAGTTGCAAACGGCGCGTTGATGTCGCTAGAGTTTCGCCCTGACCTCGCTCAAGCCTAAATTGCAGAACAAACATCGCTGGAGTTTCGCTGGGCAGTCGCTCGAGCGAAGGTGCGTCGCTCGAGTTACGCCAGCACCTCGCTCGAGCGACCGTGTTATCTGGCCATTGCTAATTTTAATTTCTCGCGAATTTTTAACACTCCATATTTCCAAATTCGACCTAGTATATAAACAAAACGTCCGGTTTTTCATTGAGAACCTTTGGCAAAGACAAAACATCAATTCCTCTCAAATTCCAAAGGATCAAGAACAAGCAAATTCATTCTTTTCATCTTTCATCTTTTCATCTTTTGTTTCTTTGAGTAAAAACATCAATCTTTACAAAAATCAAAACACCGTTTCATTACTCCTTACCAACTTCCAGAAGATCATCAGTTTGAAGATCCGGGAAGGAAATTGCTTGAAGAGCAGGAGTGCTTGGTGATTCACGAGAGGTTGAAGATATTCAAGGCTTGGATTTTGGCGCAGATCTGCAGAATCCAGGAGAGCTTTGGTTGATACAGTAAGGAGGTCAGAGAATCGGTAGTTTCAATTGTGTCTGGCGTACTGTAAGTCAATATCTTCGATAGTGAATCTCTACGTGCTTGTGCCCGGAGTTTTTACCTAGTTGGGTTTTCTCCGTCAACATTTTGTGGTATTTTTATTGTTTTTACTGTTTTTCGTTATTTACTTTCAATCGGAAATTCAACTTAGGTAGATAAAAGTATGAGAATGAATCTAGGCAATGCTTAATTTATGTGACTTGTTGCATGAATTAATTAATTGATTTAAATTCCGCATAAACACCTATTCACCCCCCTCTAGGTGTTGGTTGGGTCGAATTATATCTTTTTCAAGTGGTATCAGAGCTAAATCTCAAGTCTTGACCCATAGTTGTCTAGATGAGTCAATCACTTTCTGTTCCTCCGTATTTTGACGGAAGTAATTATGCCTATTGGAAGGTTAGAATGTGTGCATTTCTTAAGTCTTTAGATGAGCATGTTTAGTTAAGTGTGCAAAATGGTTGGAAACCTCCCTCTACTAGCGTATGAGGAACTGTTAACCTTACCGATATATCACTGTAGACTAAGGATGAACTAGCTGAGTGTAATTGGAATAGCAAGGGTCTTCATGCCCTGTTTATGGCCGTGTCTCCCGAAGAGTTTAGGAGAGTGTCAATGTGTGAAACTGCTAAAGAAGTTTGAGACATTCTTGAAACTACACATGAGGGAACTAAAACGGTAAAGAACTCTAAGTTACAAATGCTAACTTCTAGGTTTGAAGAAGTGAGAATGAAGGATGATGAAACGTTTGACGAATTCTATGCTAAATTAAATGACATTGTCAATTCTAGCTTCAATCTAGGTGAGAAAATTCCCGAGTCTAAAATTGTGAGAAAAGTGCTTAGATCCTTGCCCGAGAGATTTAGACCTAAAGTCACTGCCATTGAGGAAAGTAAGGACCTAGATGAAGTTAAGATTGAAGAACTGGTAGGATCGTCGCAAACTTATGAACTCACTATTACACAACCTAAGAAAGGTAAGTCCATAGCCCTAAAATCCATCAAAGAAGATGAATCT